GATTTAGAGGATAATAAAAGACAAATTGTCAGACAAATGGGTGTAACCATTTCTAGGTTATCAGACCATGTAAAAATAATCACGTTAACTGAGATATTGGAATGGGGAGGTTTGGTTCCTTAGAGACCACTCCATCTTCTTTCACAAGTAACCATTTCCTCAAGCTTGTCCAGTGGAGAAGCTTGTTTTATAGTAGATGTGAGATGAACAGCTTGGTGTTTATTAAGAAAAATAAAACAGTGAATGACTTTGGGAGTGCACAGACAATAAAGAGAATTGTTGGCTTTTCTCATATTAATTTAGACCAATGTGGAAGCAGGGAATCTGTGGGTCTTTGGAAAAAAAACATGGTTTTACCTGGGAAATCTTGGTAACAAATAAGGATCACTTTATCCTTAACAATGCTGCTGCTAGGGTTCCCTCAAACAAGGCACTTAACCTCCGAACTGCACACACACAGCTACTTAGTGGTCACCAGTATTCATAAAACCGCACAATGTAGTGTAAAACCAACTCTGTCCTCGATGATATATAGTCCTATTTATAACTTTTCCCAAATAATTTGTCATTGGCATACAAAGCGCACAACTGTAATGCCAGACCGGGGTTTGCGTCACTCAGGGCCGTTCCTCCCTACAGGAAGATCATGCAGACTGCGTGGGGCCTCACCTCTCGGAGGGGGCCTCATCTTGCGGAGGGGGCCTCATCTTGCAGAGGGGGCCTCATCTTGTTGAGGGGGCCTCATCTTGCGGAGGGAGCCTCAACTGAGCCGCAAATGTGGCGCACCTATGCGTTTATGAAGCGCAATTAGTGTGGCGCGGCACGGTGCTCCACTAGCAGCACTGCCCCCCCCGTCGACGCTCGCGAAACAGAGGGCCTCATCATCTAACTTTGCGTGGGGCCTCAAGTTGGCCAGGGACGGCCCTGTCGTCACTAATACTGCTTGAAGAAGAATTAGACAACTACAGCACTTAGCTTGAGGTTCCATGCATGATAATGTTCTGCCCGACTCAACTAACTTTTGGTCTCTGTTTAATTTTCCACTACGTATATTAGTTTTGAGGGCTGACAATTTCTTCCTTTTCTTTTTAAATCTAGTGAATTAAAAAAAATGTGGTAACAGTTTATATTAATGTACACAAATTAACCATCAACTAGTTGTTAATTAACATGCATATTAGCAGTAGGCCTATATTGGCTCTTTATTATAAAACATTAAAACACTTATTAATGCCTTATTCTACATGACCATATTCTACAAGTCAAGCCATTAGTTGAGAGTACATGAACATAATTCTACAAGTCAAGCCATTAGTTGAGAGTTTTTCCTCAATAACCCTCTAATAATTTCTTATTTATTGCAAGTAAGGAAGTTGTTGTACATGAGTTTTGCTCTGCTCAATATGGGCCTAATAAGGCAGTAGTACTGCAAGAATAGTAATTATCCCATAATAACACTTAACAAATAAGATCTATTCTTATGTAACAAGACATGAAAAAGTGTTAACTGTGTCTAAATTACTCAAAATTAGGTATTTCTATCCAAGAATATGTTTTGGGGTATTGACAGTTCAGCTACCAATAGCAAGGTGAAATTGACCTGTATGTTTCATATTTGCACATTTATATTTTAGTAAAATGTGTACTGAGGTTTAGACAGGAAACCGGGTACAGGAAATAGGAGAAAGTGAACTGAATATCATGGCAGTAGACTACTACTAATTTTCCCTATGCAACCTGAATAGNAGGGCGTCCCTGAATGAGACAGACGATCCACCAGGACGGTGTGAGGTACAGATATCCCAAGGCAACTCCAGGGCGTCTGAGGAGAAGACAGGTCCCCCAGGGACGGTTTGGGGTACAGCGACTCGGCAACCTCAGAACAAGACACACAAGAGAAGACGCACAAACACAGCACAGGATATTAGAAGAAAAAGCATACGACAACTAAAAAAAAAAACCAGACACACAACAGGGGAGACCAGACCACCCAGACCAGACGAAGTAGAGGTAAGACGTGACAACTAACCCAAGGGCGCGGCCTGATGAGACCAGGCGACCCCCAGGACGGTGAGGTACAGGACAGTCGCACCTAAGGCGGCTCGACGAGAGGAGCCCCAGGACGGGACCAGGACACAGGAGAGAGGGTACCCCCTAGAACCGGCTGTGGCCGGAAGGACTAGGTCCGACGGCCAAGCAGACACAAGAAGCCAGAAGTGAGAGACCCGAAAGGAGCCCAATAGAGAGCACAGAGAAAAACAGGAAGGAACCCAGGCAAAAACCAAAAAAAAAAATGAAATAAAAAAAAAGAGCCACCACCGGACAGGAGCGTCGCGAACGCATGAGCGAGAAAGAGAGAGGATAACACTGCGAAGCAACACAGAGCAACACACACACACACAAGGAGCGGGCACAGGCCAGTGGGCGCGGAACCCTCCCCTGCGTCCTATAACATGGACAACACAAACCCTGCAGCGACGCGGAACGCGCGCGGGCTACCCTGCGGCGCACCCAACGCGCGTCCGCCGCCTACACCCTACCCTCGCCCACGCGCGAAACCAAAGCTCTAAGGACCGTTACGTGAAACGGGGGCCCAAGACGCCCAACACCCGTAGCGAGCGCGCCTAGCGCGCGGCGGCCAACGAGTCCTGCGCGGGCACGGCGCGCGTGCCTGAAATCCTAAAGCGTAATCCCGTCTCCCGACCGACCCCCCCCCCTCCCCCAACCAAACAACTACACAAAACACTACCCTTCGCACGACCGTTAAAGCGCAGCGGTGTCCCAACACCCTTCCCCCCGCTCCACTCATCCCTTTCCCTTTGGTCGAAACCAACTAACATCGAAACGAAAGTCTCAATATACACGAACACATACAAACCACCAAACCAAGACGCCAAAACGAGAGTACTCTCCCTCTCCTTATTGTTGAAACAGCTAATCTCCGTTAGCTCCGAGCTAGCACCAGATGCTAACATCAACCCTGTAACTCTCTCAGTCTCTCTTTCTCTCTCTCTCTCTCTCTCTCTCTCTCTCGAATCGAATCGACCAGTGGCCTTTATTTGTCATGAACAATCAACGAATCTACAAAACAATGACACCAGCCAAGCTCACCTTCATCTTTTGGGAACAGAAACATCGCCACTTCGGCAGACTTGACATTACTACAGCCAGCGGCAATGCATCGCTTCCCGTGTGTTTTTCCTCCGATTTTCTTCACTGTCGCCTCCATTGTCAGGTTTTCTCGATTGGCAATCACTTCCAGTCGACTCCGCAACACTTTCCAGTAAAATACTCGCTCAAAAACGTTGAGAAATTCGACTTTGAAAAAGTGAAAAAATGAACGGTGGTGAATGTAAATAGTGCGGCGGCGTCCATCTCGTGACGTCCCGCAGTAGATCGCAAGCCACGCCCACGAAGGCGGAGGTCAACTGCAGATTTCCAGGCGGCAAATTCAAAACTCGTCAAATTCATTGCTATTCCAACATCTTTTGATATGGGTTCAATAGACAATTTTGGTCATTACTATACATATTAGCATAACAGATCATGCACAGGTGCACACTTCACTGGGCCTTTAAGAGAACGGAATTTACAATTAAAAGGCTGTTCAATATGTGTTGCTAACTTGATCCGGTATCCTAGCTTAATCTTTTATCTGTAAACGTTCCCTAAATCTACTAATTTAGGGATAATCCACTGACATCCTTTAATACACATGTTAATTTGAATCAGATGTACTGATAATATCCGCAGTATAAATCTTTAAATTCTTCTTACCTTTAAAAGTCCGTCACGAACGGTCTATTATGCTGCAACTCTACAGCTCTGCTAGCCTTGGCGCTAACTTCCGGGGAACGATTGAGAGGCTCCAAGATCCGCCATTGCTGTAAAAAAAGTGGTCCATTGGAGTGAACGGAGATGACGTAACTCTCAGTCTATATGGCGCTGGGACAATCTGATGTAGAGTTTCAAAATAAAAGACCTTTGAAGTCTCATATATGAGTTGTCTTCCTTCTGTTTGTATCCAACAGTTCAAATGTTCGAATTATATTAAACCAGAATGGTCCCCTTTTTTCTTTAACAGTGAAGAAAATTGGATATGTTAATGAGATATTGACCGCAAAACTCAAATTGTCCCCGGTTTTCATTTTGAAAATCTGGTCACCTTAATTTACAGTCATTGCTTTCGGACGGAATGTACCCTTTTACTCTTCAGGTTGCAAAGGAAAAATTAGTAGCAGTCTACTCATTGATGTCTACTGCCATGCTATTAGGTTCACTTTCTGCTACTTCCTGTACCCGGTTTCCTGTCTAACCTTCAGTACAAATTTTACAAATATATAAATGTGCAAATATGAAACATACAGGTCAATATCACCTTGCTATTGGTAGCTGAACTGTCAATACCCCAACAGTATATTCTTAGATATAAATACCTAATTTTGAATTATTTAGACACAATTAACACAGTTTCATGTCTTGTTAATAAGTCTTATCATGGTAGAATAACTATTCTTGTGGTACTACTGCCTTATTAGGCCCATATTGAGCAGAGCATATTAAGACCAAAAATCATGTACAACAACTTCCTTACTTGCAATAAATAAGCACTAATTAGAGGGTTATTGAGGAAAAACTCTCAACTAATGGCCTATTACTTGTAGAATATGGTCATGTAGAATAAGGCATTAATAAGTGTTTTATAATAAAGAGCCAATATCCTGCTAATATGCATGTTAATTAACACCTAGTTGATGGTGAATTTGTGTACCTTAATATAAAGTGTTACCAAAAATGTATTTAAAAAGAATTCAAGAATTGTCTCTTCGTGTAGGATATCCAACGTCGACCTACCGTAGATTCTCTCTGGCCAATCAGTGATCTGCAGTGTTTTAACTCCACCATTAGGTATGTGCCCAGCTTGGCACCTCAAACACGGCGGTTCCACAATATAACCAGATGCAATCCACTAAGTTTATTATTAGAAAGCAAAAAAAAGAACCAGTTGAGTAGAGACATGCAATACCATTAATGTCAGTATAAGTAGATACTGAATTGCCAGAGGGCAGATATGCTCACCCAAGATAGAATGTTTACTTTCAGGGTTGAAAGAAAGTTTCATAACTCTTGTGCCAATAACACCCAGAAAAATATTGGACTATTTATACATTTTCCAAATGCAGTGTGGAAGAACCCAAGACATTAGTTTAAATAATCAATAAATAAGGTCTGAAAAGGATAGCAACCAAAATAACTGACTCCGAAAAGTGACACTGTTGCATAATTTGGATACATATTTCCAGATGTTGTTCTTAACAGTATTGTAGCTGCTGTGAAAATGTCTCTCGGGGGCTCCCTAAAAAAGCGGAGAATGATATGTTGCACAGTTATGGTATTAAAAAACACATTGCAGCTTAAGATGACTTGCAGCATAGCATGAATGGTATGGTTGTTGAAATTCCTCAACAGAAAGACAAGGGTGTCGTTTTGGGGAAAGGCTTCAGGCATAGAGCGAAGAAAGGCCTCTCTGTTTGAAAGTCTGCGGCGTGTTTGTCACCCACTCTGGCAAAGTGGGCCAATACTGACCGCTAAAGGGTCCAATCAGGCATTAGATGTACATGTATGTGTAAGAGCTGGAGCAAAAAGGAAGAGCAGGAAAGGTGGGGGTTGTGGAAGCAAGGTGGGGCAAGAGAGGGTGGGTGGTTGGGCAGGCGGGCGGGTGGGCAGTGGAGCAGATGTGAGCAGAGCTGAGGACGAGCTTCACGCAAAGACACAGTCCCATCGATGCCTCCGTTACAGCCTGGAGCAGGAAGGGGGAGGGAAGGAAAACAGAAACAACATTAAATTGGAAGCCATCGTTAGCACACAGCCCTGCAGGAAACCACACGATTAACAGGCTATGTTCAGACAGACAGTGACAATGCAGAGCACAGGAAAGGAAACTTAAAATCCCCAAATTCTAGTTTAGGTGTTCTTTTCATTTTGCCAATTCAAAAAAGAGAGAAGAGCATCGAAGAGAAAAACTATAGTCTAGAAATGAATGCATAAATATATATTGCACTGTAAGTGAAAAATGTTCTGAAGCTTAATGATGAATTCCAAAAATCTTGTTGCAAACCACATGGAAGTCTTTAAAGGTGCTGAAATCAATATCTAAATAAAAAATGCAAATCTTCAAAATGTTATCTTCATAAAACGATACACATGATATTTCTTTACTATTTCTTACTGGTATAAGAGGATAGAACTCAACGGTGGCCGAGAGGTGCAAACGCACTACAACGGCCCAAAGCACTTCCAATAGGCAAAACACGCTGCCGCTTTAGAGATGATGCAAATATAAAAACGTAAATGGGCCAAAACACATGCAAATGAAGAAACATCATCACCAACTTGACAACACAACCGCGATATTTCGAAAACATTCCCCAACTTAAACAAAACGCTGAGAATAAAAAATGCAACACAACAGAAACAGAGAAAATCGATGCAAACAGCTTGGAACGGAACGCTTGTCAACGTTTTGGGTTTATAAAGCTGAGTAATTGAAAGTGTTCTGTAAGTATATTTGAAATGACAAGGTTGACAGGTAGTTAACAGCGGATGTGCAATAACATCGGAAAATAATCATGTGTTCACATTGTCAAAATGAACCAATACAAATGTTTAGGTACATTTCCAGTGGCAGTGACAATTCGTGAAGACGTTTCTTTATTTGCATGTGTTTTGGCCCATTTATGTTTTTTTATTTGCATTGTTTCTGAAGCTGCAACGTGTTTGCCCTAATGGAAGTGTCCACAATTTTGCAACATTGCAAAAATAATCTGATAACATCTGATGGCGTCACTAACAAATCTAAATAAATTAAAACCAATAATGTTGTTTCGTAATTCAAAAATGTAATATGCCTTTTGTCGGAATAAAGCCGTATCCAAACATTGAGCCCTGCAGCACTTACTCACTTGTGATATTTACCCATCACCACAGAACTCAATGAAAAAGAAGAAAAATGACCTTCATTTGTTGCATTAACTAAAAATAATCATGATCTGGCCTTGCTTTAAAATGTCAACAGAGTCTGTGGTCACATACTGTGCAGACCTTATTCTCTGCATCCAGGGAAACCACAATGGGCCTCCAACTCAGAGTCTGAATGGTACAGTTGCTGCACATTATCTGCCAGATGGGCCAGCATAGGGCCTGCTGGAGGGGGAGACAGGGTCACATCCTCCATCCTCTTGCATTATGTAAGATTTATTTTTGGGATGTACAGTTCAAACCAGTTTGTGTTTGCCAAGTGGTTTTCAGACAGTCAACCACTCTCAGACTCTTGAGCATGATGTGAAAATCGCCAGTTTGACCACCAAAACTGATTTCCTCTTATATGTCAGACGGGCTGCCTCACTAGTTGCAATTATCAGTCAGTATAAAATGTGCACCTAATCATAGAGCAAGAATATCTCTGGCATTAGTGTTACATTTATTTGCTCACTGAATCAGGCCAACAGCTGCGTGGGATTCACTGCGATGTATATACAGGTGTTGCCAGTTCCTTAGCTTCAAGGATTATCAAGCCTTTCCTTAGTGGCACGGCTTTGGGCTCAGTAAAGCTGAACCTTTAGGACATGGCACACTTTGTAGGGCTTATATTATGTCTCTATCTTATCACTTGTTCTCTCTTTCGCTGTCTGTCTTCCAAACCTGTGGTCTAATGAAACACATCTCCAGCATAACAAGCCATGTGGGTGTCTTCAAATGAATAAAGAGAACCCCACAGTCCTTAGAAGCTACGTGGCATAGCTAATCTGCCACTCTAAATTGGCTATTTTCAAAGACATATGCAGCATGTGTTCATCATGTTTGTGAAGGTAACCCTGATCTAATTAGCCTTATCAATCTATTCAAGTCTTAGAGGAAGGAGGAACTCCCCTGAGATTGTTATGTCTTCAATGTGTGAAACTACGAGTTATTTCCTTATATAGTGCTATGATTAGATTGTTATGGTGTCTGGTTTTGCCTACCTCTATATCACAAGGTTCCCAGCAATACTGGAGTACGTTTGTCATTTGTTTAAACGCAGAAGCGTACTGCAACAAAATTCCTGCAGCAACATCACCACTTATATCTAGTATGCTTATAGAGTGGTGCACTCCCTCGACATAAAGCTCTGTGGCAAACACACATTCAGATGCTTGTGTTTCTTAGAGATTCTAGATTTTCAGACATGGCACAACCACTTGCAAAGTCAATGCAAAAACATGAAGGGTCAAAAAGAAATGTAAACTTCCCCAAAAAATATACAGTATAAGGCAAAACGTGAATAGACAAATCATGAATACCACATACTGTACAGAGACAGGGGAGAGACCGACTTGCTTTCGAGTGAACTTCAGTTTTAGAGCCACTAAATCCTTTGAAAGCTTGGCATATATCAGGGAGCTACTCTCATTTTGAAAATGTTCATATCAAATTTACATCGATTATTATTTCATGACTCAAATAATTGCATTAGTAATTGTAAGTTAAGCCTGTTTTTATTTTTTGTTCCGGAGCCAATATGTACCGTAACAAGAAATGCACTCAACCCTATCAGGTTTAACACTTGACAGAAACCAAACATTCATGCTCCAATAAGCTTCAGCCTCCCTGAGATTGGGTGATGTGGGTTTTTTACACTTCAGTGGGCGAGTCTGGATTTCAGAGGTGGAGTAAAGGTAGAGAAGAAAAAGAAGTTGGAGGACTGGCTGTGCAGACAGGTAAAGCTCTCATCTGTCCATCTATTTACTTATCCTTCCATTTCCCCGCTCCATGCCCTCACTTTCTACCTCCTACCAGTGACTCACAGGTCTCACACTTTGGACCATAGTAACACACACACACATAAGCATACACACACACACTGTCCTCAATATAACAGTTAGTTCACAGAGTAGTTGAGACAAAAACAATACAGCAGAAAGACATACGACATCATGACATTTTAGGCATCCATATGGGCACATGACTATTGTTTAAAACAGACTGGAACAATCTATTAAGGGAGAAGAGCAAAGGCGACAAGTAGCAGTAGCTATCAGATCTTTCCTTGCAAAAAGCTAATTAATAATGTCCATAGCATTTCTTCCCTTTACATGGGAGGTCTGCAGACTCACAGACTAACTTATATTGTGCTACAGCTACTAGCACAACATCTCTTCTTGCTAAGTAAGACTCGCTTGATGCTTACTGCTGCTCAACAGCGCCGAATCAAGTTATTTTCATTCCTCTGAAAAGCAAAACTAGCCGGACACTCAGCGGCTGGGAGAGGGGTTTAATGAAATTCTATTGTGCTTACTCTTAATTTGTATACATACTTTTTTGGTAAAACAACTTTCGAAGGATTAACAGGGCACCTAGCTGATATCGTAATATGTTCTTGCTAAACCGATGCCATTCTCATTGCTATGCATACCGCACAAATTTACAATTTGCATAAAGATACAATTTCTTTATCCAAATAACATCTCCGGATACAGTTCCTATGTAAGTGCCTGCTGTAAATGGGATCTCAGAGTTAACTTTGAATAGCTCCACTTTGATTTTAATTCATCGATACTCTCTCACGTACTGCAGCTCCAAAGTCCAAAATGCTTCCCTCTTTACCAAATAATCCAATGAAACAAATAACATTATTACATAATGTTGTTGGTTTGGTCCTGATGAATACATTATATCCCTTTATTACCTTATAATTGCAATCCATATTATTTATTTTATTTAAGAAAAGGAACAATTAGCGAGCCCTTGAAGAAGCCACAGTGGAAAGGGTTGTGTTTGAGGCATGAGCTTCTTCGGTGCACAGTCCCAGCAGAGGTACATACGTTTATTCTGTGCATTAATTAAAGGGATAATATAGTTTTAGACTAATTGTATTTGCACTTTACTCTAGCTTTCATAGAATTTGAATGCCAAATGCCTGCAGGTTGAAGCTCTTCTAAATGAACACAGCTAAACTCAGTTCATGGATGTCATGGAAACAGAAACTCTCAAAGGATGAGTCGAGAGAAACAAACAAGTTAACTTCCAATACAGGCAACTCTAACCTCGATAGTAACATAACAGTTTGATCACCCGGAACTCATTGAGGAGTGGTTAATGTCATCCCAAGGTTTTAATGGAAAGAAAACAGTTTGAACTATTTCACCACAGCGCATGCTGGGTTTTCTCCTTGTGCAGACAGCTCTAGATATTTCTTGGCTTAGAAAAGGTAAATCTGTCTTTTGAGGTCACTTTTCTAGCTTCAAAGCGAACTGCAGAGTTGATGTCGCTGTGGCATATGTTTACTGCAGAAGTGGAGGCAGCATTTCTATAATAGTGATCAGAAACAAGAGGAGTGGAGTTTGCTGCCAGAAGGATTTAACATTTCAGGATATTTGGTTTCATTGGAATATTGATTTCACTCTTATTTCTATTTTGAAATGATAAGGCTGTAGTTGCTAGTTAGCTTAGCTTAGCATATGGGAAACAAAATGTCTGCCTAAACACAATCTGCCTCCCCAGCACCTCAGGAGTTCAGTAAATACCACACAATATCATTTTCTATTCAACGCCCATTTCCCCAAGTCAATTACAAGAGACCTTTTCATCCGCCTGATTCCAACAGCATTTCATGTTGACACTGATTTTGGGTTTTAATGGCGTCACAGCTTGACAATGTTATTAGTCCAGCCCTGAGGCACCGATTGATCGTTTGTCTTCCTGTGGTGCTTATTGGCTCAATTGCTTTTTAATGTCTGACTACACGGTTCTGTAGCCTTTAACAGCCATTTTTCAGGCCTTCCAGTTGAGGGGGTGTTTCATAGTAAAACAGATTATGTATGGTGGGTCACTCTAAATATTTATAACTGGAGGAAAACAACATCATAAATTGCACTTTTTAGGTTGAGATCGAGATCGCCTCATGCGTCAAACATTAATTAGGTGGTAAACACTGACTCAACGTTACGTTTGCCTTTTAAAGATGTGGTAAAAATGTCAACCAAGGTCAAATATGGATAAGGGTTGACTAAGATAAAACATGACATAAAAGAAACAGAAAACATTCAAAATGAAAACATATTTTTATTGTCATACACTTTGTAAAGGATGAGTGCAAATAAAGGATTGTGATCAAAATCTAACCATCACTAAGCCATGGACCATAAGGCATCATTAAATACAAGCTGTTTGGAGCTATCATCTACAATACAAGGACGGAATCAAGGAAAAGAAACAACACAGCATCAATGCTTATGCAAGTAGAAGGAAAATGATGGAAAATAAGTTTAAATTAACTGAAAACAGAAACAACAAAAAAACACAACACAATTCGTACATTCAAAAGAAAGAAGTCAAAAAAATTCACAAGGATATTGATATTACTGCAAGTGACGATAAAACATAGTCTACAATCGGTTATGTACACTTGGCACTAATGTTAGATCTTTGATTGTTGTCCAGTCAGGTTGTTTTCAACTCTAGCATGTGCACAGACAGGCCGCAACTCCTTTTATCTTATTTAAATGCTAGTCTAATCAATGATATAATCTATAAATATTCTGAAACAACCATTCTGTCAAACAAAGCTGTTGAAAAGTTTGGCAAAGCCTGACGTAAAACTTCATTAGGTATTGAGATCCAACTGCTCAATGGACAACAGTTCATCAGAAAAATTCTCACATAACTTTTATATATATAGTGTAGAAGGATTTTTTTTTTTCATAACAATAATCAATCTTTGATAGTCCAACTCATGCACTTGAAAGTTGTAAACAGTACAAATATAAATGATCCACTTACAATATTTGAATCCCAGCAATTCCAAAATAGACAGACTCCAAAAACAGCAGCAGATTGTTTGTATGCATTTTCCAACACTGGCAGATGTGTATATAATGAATTGGAAAATGGCTATTAAACATGATTGGATTGTCTCTATCTATTCCACGTGGCTAGAGAGAATCAAAAGCAGTATACAGCTCAAATGACGCCAAAGCTTCCAATTCATGATGATATGACTCGGACTTGTTATATCTTTATAACACACATTTAAAATATATAATGATATATAGTAGAAAGTAGAAAAATGGCCTGGGGTGGTCTTCAGCATTGTGATATGTCTTTTGTGATACAGTATGTTGAAGGGAAAGTTCAGCCAGATTGAAGTTACTTAGTTTTTACTGTAACTTTATAATCCAATAACTCAATAATTTGCTTTGTTTAAATGAAAGAAATTAAGATTTTAAAAAATAAAAAGGCAAGTTTGTGATTAATTTGTCCTCCAGAGTCACTTTTTCGGGAGTGTTGTAGTCAAGAAGAAGCATTATTAAAAACGATTTTGTTTGCTAAAAATTTACTGATACCTGTAAATTAAAAATAACTTATGATATACATATTAATATATAGAATAAAGACTTGCAAGTAGTTTTCAAGATGTGTTCCAACTAAAAATCACATTTTTCTTTACTTTCTTTATTTGTATATTTGTGTGTGTGTGTTTGTTCTTGCTACAAAGAGAGGACCGTTTGAAAAGTGAGGACATTTTTCCGGTCCTCACTTCTTCTAAGACCTGTTTGAGGGTTAAGACTTTGGTCGGACTGAGGCTTAGGTTAAGGTAAGATTAGGGTAAGGGCTGCGGTAGGCATTTAGTTGTGATGGCTAAGGTAAGTGTAGGGTTAGGCATTATGTCAATGACGGTCCTCATGATAGAAAAACATGTAAGAGTGTGTGTAAATGTGTGTGTGTTTGTTCAAGAGTACCTTTGCACTATATGCATGTACTAGACCTTTGTTTTGTTAAATAAACTGAAAATGAATTGATTTCAGTGGACATGTCTTTCACTTGAACTGAGTAACTTAGTATGAAAATTCCTGATTTATTAATAACTAACTTCTAGCGTACTATATAAAATAAACATTAACTGTTACCTTCAATGTGTGCCTTATAGGTATTTGAGGAAATGCGTCAAAGCAAAGTTAAAGGAATATAAGTTTAATAATATTTGGAAAAATAATTCTAGTTGAAGCTGAATGAATGAAAATTCAACCTGACCACAACACTGCTTTTGATCAACTCCAAACTAATTTCACCATGTGCCAAACAAAGGAGGACTTCTTCTCAGAGTTTTTGTGTTTCCTTTCAAAGGTTGTTTGCTCCCTATACCCGTCTAACAGTCACATCATTTTCCTGTGAAGATCTAAATCATTCTGGTCCTCAGACCCAGCAATAGGTCGTCTTAACGTTTTCAAACTATTATAATAAACCATTTCATACGCTAATCAGAAAGCCAACATTTCAGTTAATGTATCTAATTAATGTAAAAATAATATGCATTTATAAATGGGGGATGGGGGTTTAGGGGGCTCAGTGATAGCATATCTAAAGGGTAATTAGTTGATGAGATACATTTCAATTGTCAGCGATTTCTCAGAACAGCGTCAAGTGAGGAAATCCTGGTCTGACTGGCTTTTCCCCCCAAAGACTCTTATTGTTCAAACGTCTCACTTATGTTCACAGGCAATATTCAAGAGAGAACATTCTCCCATCAAAGAACGGTGCCAACACATCCCTACACAAACAGGGATGCTGGCCTCTTCACATTCAAATGGTACGGTGTAAATAAGAGGACCATCTTTTGAAAGTTAAATAAAGCTTTTTCAGACAAACATGTAGCTTATTCAGACATCCACACATGAGAGACCATGAGGTAACAGTGACAAAATGACCTACACAGTTGACAGACATGAGGAATGGCAAGACAATGCTATGAATATATACAATGTGTGATGTACAACAGTTACATTCATTCAAAACAGAACACAAGAAATAGATCTACATTTGATCTCAAACATATTTTTTTTAAAGTCCAGGATGATGTGATCAGTCAAAAGTTACAAGCAAGATACATCCACAAAATCAAACCAAATATAATGAAGGGATCAAGTCAATAGTAAAAGACAAAAAAGATAAAGGAAAAAATATCCAGTATGGTTCAAATCAAACCAAAGGAAATATGAGTCCCGACTGCTTTGAGAAGCCTGACAGTCTCTGTACACACACATGCCAACATTCCATGAAAGTACACACAGCACGGGCAGTTTTCATCACTGGGCTGGCTTTTGGATTCAGTGCATTCTTTAAGGAGATGGGTTATTTATGAAGAGTAATGGCGGGATGTTTTTTTGTTATATAGTTGCTGATTGTTGTTGTTTTGTGTCCCTAACTCATTTGACATACTCAGCTGACTTCCAGAAGTGCCCTGGGTGGGAAAGGCGACGATTCCGTTTTGGCAACTTTTCCAGTAAATCTACCAGCTTGGAGAAGCTGGGCCGCTCATCCTGCTTGTACGCCCAGCACAGAAGCAGAATGTCCTGTGAAAGATACAAGGGAAAACAAGCTTTTAGATTTGCCGATTAATGAAGGAATACGTGCAAATAAAAGTCTTGATTTTCCTTGATGTACTTGTGCTGTGTCTCAATCCGACACTTCCCTAGCCATACACTGTAAACATCAAGGTTCAAGGTTCTTTATTAGTTATACAACCATAGCTACAGAGTAGTTATGTCGATGAAATTCTTAAGTCACAGGCTTCTCCAAAAGTGCAACACAATATTAAAGAAAAACTGAGAAATATAGTGCAAGTAAATATGAGTACTGTGTAAACTGTGTGAATTTCCACCAGATATATAAGCTCGAATTGTATAGGCTGCTGTGGCATCACCGGAAGTCATGACGGCTGCTGTTACGTGCTGAATACCGATAAAAACACAATTTGAGTAGTACTGTGTTCTAGGCAGGAACTGTAATTTCACGGCAGGTTGCACAGCTTCTTTTACGTAGCAAAGACAGTGATCATTAAGTGAAGGAAGTGTCCAGTGCACCACAGCATCCTGGTACTTATAGTGCACTGCAATTTGCAATACCTACTTTGGAAATAGTTACGTTCTCAAACTATCTCTAGAGACTAAGTATACTTTTCTCAAATATTGATTTGATTGTATTATTCTTAAACAGAAGGTTTCACAATGTAAAGTTGTGCAATTTGTAATATGAGACAAAGATACTGTATGAGGTCAAAGTAATACATGTTTAGTTTGGATCACTCAGCAACACAGTCAGCACTTAAACAACTGTGGTATAAGAGCCTAACCAAGGTGTCAAAACAAAAGATATCTAATTGTCATCTTCTGAATCTTTTTTTTTGTAGAGATTTCACTTTCACTAAAACGTTTCTTTGTTCTTGGGTATTGTCTTGAAAACAGTCTGTGAAACTAGCCCGAGATTGCACATTGTCTTTATCACGAGAAGTTAATTTCCGAGTAATAATCAACATTGTGTTGGAGCACTTCTGGTCTAGGATTTAATGGGCTGAGAGAAAAAGCAGGAATGCACTTAAATTTAACAAATAGGATGATTAACAAATTGTGACAAATGAAAAAGAAAGAGAACCCTTACTGATATCTCCTTCCCCATGCCAGTTTGGGCGAGGTTTGGCTTCATCCCGCTGCCAATCTGCCAGATGATCACCTCTGCTGGCTGACTCTTGTAAGGCCACTCACGTGCGTGTAACTCGTACCAGATGGTGCTGTGATGAAAGAGGAACAAAGAGATGGTCAGCGCTTTGTACTGTCTGGTACGGGGGAACAACACCATATTTCCCAAAACACACCTACGGAGGGTTCACATTCCGCCCAGTGCTAATGCCACCAGGCAAGATTCAAGGTGCGACTTCTGTAAGCCATCAAACTCAATGTTTTAATCAGCAACAGTTGATGATGCTCTGCAAAGTTTTATAGCAAACATTAGAATTCCGTGGTTGAATTTATTCTATAACTTAAAGGTGACCTATCATGCAAAATGCACTTTTGTATGTCTTTTATACATTTATATGTGTCCCCGGTGTTCCAGGGAACTCACCAAGTGTCAGAAAACACAACCCTCGCTATTTTCCTCCATACCCAAATCTCTTAAAAAGGGGCTTCAACGGATCTGATACAGACTGATCCAGATTTGAACACTTCTATGACGTCACAGAAGTGGCGCTACGGCTATTGGGCCAACTCCACCTATCAGGAGGAGACAGCCACGGGCATTGCCGTTGGAAAGCGCTGGAGACGCTGTAGTACATATGCCAGGCCTGTAGATGGTGCTGTTCTCACAGAATCAGCCCATGCAAAGACAGTGTTAAATTGAGGGAAATGAGGAATGGCTAAAATGCATGATCTGTTTGGTATTTTGAAAAATAAAAAGTATAAATATGCCTTATATAGGTATGGTCCTACACTATATTATTCAAATATAGCATGATAGGTCCACTTTAAAGGTCTCCTATGCTATTTTTAGGCATATATTATAGGTCTCAGGTATATACAAAAAAATACAAAAAACATGTCTATGATGTGTTTTGCTCAAAATACCAAACAGATCATGCATTTCAGAATTCTACGGAGATACAGCTAAATGCTCACTTGATTAAATGCCATACCATGTTCCAAACCACATCAAGGATTATTTCCTTTTTTTATGTCCTACTTTTTTACACATGCTCTCTCCAGTACAGCGTTAGCTCTGAGTGTTAGCGATGCTTGCTAATGTAAACAAAGACCATATTACGTCCAAAACAGTCGGGCATTGTTTCTGATAGCGACTTTTCTGATAGGGACGTGGGTCCACATTTCCGATATTACGTGATATCGGACGCAAATCTGGATCAGCTCCGTTGTGACCCCGTTTTTAGAGATTTGGGTAAGGAGGAAAAGAGAGAGGGTTTTATTTTCTGACACTTTGAGAGTTCCCTGACACACCGGGGAAACATATTTATGTATAAAAGACATCAAAAAGTGCATTTTGCATGATAGGTCCCCTTTAAATACAGAATTTAAATCGACAGTACATTTCTAAAAACAGCTCCTGCTCAATTAGCATGTAAGCGTGTGAATAAGCGGTTGTTTTCATTCTGCTCTTGCACGTCTAGTTTGAGTAGCGTAAAAATAGCTCTTTGCCAGGAGTAGAAAAAAAAAGTTTTCAATGAATATGTAAAACTGCCATGGGGGTCACCTCTAGGAAACACAAGAGATATGAGAGCAGCTGGACATTGTGCACCAGCACTGCACTCTTCTTCCCTTCAGGATGATAAAGCAACAAAACCTCCATATGGGTGACCATCTGAAACTGCAATAGTGCTAGGAGCCAACAAAGCAGGGTCCACCCCCTCAAATGAATCAGTAATGGGATTGGAGGAGGAACAGGCGCCCTGGGTATTTTTAATTAACTCAGAAGAAATTTAAAATTGGACTTTAGAGGAGGAGAGGCAGGACGCTTTGGTTTGAGAAACCAGAGGGACACTCAAGAGAAGCAATCTAGTAGGTGTGATGATTTCAGTCAAAATTAACCCAACTGTCTTTACCCAACAATATCATATATATATATATATTCTAAAACTGTGGTTTGGTTCAATTCATTTTGCCATTAACAACTACAATTCACTGTTAATGGAATAATACATTCCGCCTAGCCACCAAAATCATACAATGCAAGTGGTTTGCAAACTTAACCGAAAGATACTTCCCGTTTACAAAATATTATAACATTATTTTTTGTATTCAAAACACACCATAATATGCTTTGTTTTAAACAATTTGTACTGCTGTTCTTCTGCTTTATAATACTGTAACACAGAATAAATTAAGATGACAGCATTGGTAGATACTATTGACGAATGATAAGATATTGTTGAATCATTATTTTCATCACCCCAAACGATTTAGACTACCAAGTACTTCAGCAAAAAAAGAGAAACATGTAAAAACCCACAAACAAGCCACCCTTCTATACATTCATTTTAATATACTGTATGTACAATTCCAGCTTGTCTTTCTTTGCAGTCACAATATATGTTTACTTTAAATGAATGGAGAAGATTGTAATGTTCTTTTCCTTAGATGCTATATTGATCGAGGTTGAGTTCTACTTTTCAATTCCCAGAAACCGCTTGTTATTGCCTGACACTCATCAAACCCCATAACCTCCTGTGCAGCTGAGACGTACACCTAGTAAACAAACTACCACACACAACTAATGTTGTGAAGCCAAAATGAAAAAGCTTCTAAAAGCCAGAGGTCTGAATCTGTGGCAGATGTCTCTCGTTACTCCCTCTGTACATTTTGTGATAGCCCCGTTAACAGTGGTTCACTTAGTTGTTTGCGTATTTGTGCCTATACTTGTAAATCTACTTATCTTTAGTACAACGTTAACTGTTGTTAACTTGTCCCCAGGTTGTGTTTTATAACAGCCTATTTTCGTTAGCCCAATTCCTTTTCCCACTTTAGAAGTGAGGTTTTCTTTTGTTTGTGTACTAACTTGTTAAAACTCTTATTTAAAGAGTCTTCCTTAGTTCCTTTTGTTGTTTATTTGAACCGGTGCCTTAGTGGCCTTTTGTTTTGATTGTGGCTGCTTTGTTGCCAATTGTATTGAGCTCCCTCAATAAACAAATTCTAATTTACCAATTTCCAACTGGTTCTATGTTACTTTCCACGAGCCGGGACGTAACAATGAGGTTTAGAACATATTATGTATATATAATCGAAAACCAGCTTCCTTTGCAAATCTGATGGAGTCACTCCTCTGCCTAATAAATTAAATTATGTCTATTGAATCCTCAACATTCACACAATTTCCCTTTTTCCTGTAATTATCCAACAGTTTAAAATTCAAAAAGATAACTCTTTAAAAAAAAAAAACTAAGCTTCCAACCTTCTCTTGCACCAACATCGGGGAACCAATCACAAGTCAGAGAGCTCTGTATCTACTTCAAAGAGTTTCTCCAATATCTTGCTCTCTTCCAGTGGCCAGTTGACAATTTGAGTCCCCATCACCACTGTAACTAAAGGTTCATTCATAAAGGAGATGCGGTAAGTCGGGGGTCTTCACTGTTCCTGAGGATATATGATCCTCCCCAAAATCTGTCATATTGGACCAAGGGGTGTAAATGTCAAAATCAGATAAATTTCAAGCAATTAAGTTTTAAAACGTTTAATCCTGCTCTCATTAAATAAAGCAGTAAGCAGTGAAAATCTATAATGAGATCTGGAAACGTGTTAATGAGAGTCGCCTTTTCGTCATGTGATGTGGAGTTTTTGGGTGCTGCTCTGTAGAAAAGTAAGAAAGAATTTATTTCGCATGAATATTTGGGTTTTGTTTACCCTCTCTGTCAACAGTGGGCGAAGATCGACCAACATCAGGCTTTGGCATATTGTCTGTAAAGAAAACACACAGGAGGGCTTCAGCTGAGATGACACATACCCAAAAGCAAAGACATCCGACTGTTTGGAGAAGGGAAGCTTGTCCTCCTCTGTCTCTGGGGAGAGCTGCTCGATTATTTCTGGGGCCAGGTGACACAGCCAGCCGTTGGGGATCCTCAGTTTGTCTTCTCTTCGGCTGCAGGATGAGGAAACATAGAGAGGACATGTCAGGGTTTATTGATCTTATTTACCATTCTGCCAAGCCACAGTAAAGATATTTGTTGTCGCTTTTTCATTATACTACATTGTCTTTGCAGATAGACATAATAAGATAATTGGATGATGTTGCATTCAATTATTTTTCAAGAAAAGTATCAACACTTTGGGTTTTTCAGCTGCATCACTGGCATATTGTTACAATAACAGCTCAGTTCTGTAGGTCAGACACATTTCAAGGAACACTATTCAAGTATCTATGTACAACAATGAAGTGTGTGTTATTCTAGATCTCCCGTCACCTTACCCTCACACCTACAGTATTTTCTTCACTTGACAACTTAATTGTAAGGTTTAGAAGCTCAACTTCCAAAAACTACATGTTTTTGTAGGTGCTGTAACCTGCTTGTCGACAATGTAAAATGTCAAACGAAGTCAGGTATGTTATTTGTCTGATTACATACTTGTACTGTGTAAAACGATGTTAAAACGATCCTGCTTGGCCTGCAGATGTAGGCGTATTCAGAAAGCCCGCAGGTCTGTCTTTCACTTCCAAAGAACTTCTGAAGGGTTAATGATGAAAGTCATGGCCCCATGAGGTCAATCACAACTGGATAAACTATATGATTTGTTGTTTTCAGCCATGACATGGTATATGAGAGAAAACATATTCTTTTTTGAAGCGAGAACCAATTTATAGCTGTTTATAGCTCTGTTTGTGCTGTCTGTGTCTGTCTGTTAACGCAACTCTTTAACACTGTTTGTGTCCTTCAAGGGTTGAGAAGGAGTTTCTCATATGATAACGGTTACTGAAGACGATTAAAGGTTATTAAGTGATGTTATACTTACAGCAAAGATGTAATATTGCCAAGAAAAAGTTGAGCTTTCAGTGACATTTGAGGCGTAGTGCCATCTCATGTCATTACCCAACATCCAATGCTGTTGATCCAACCAAAAAAAAGTGTTGCTCCTCTATTTCTTTTTACAAGGGGCCCTATTATGCTCTTTGGGGTATTCCCTTTCTTTTAGTGTGTTATATAGCTTTCTGTGCATTTAAATGGTCGGTTAAGGCTTAAAACCCCAAAACGCCTTTATTAGACTCCATTGTGTCCTCCTGTAACATAGTGACATCACTAAGGACCACTCTTGCTTCTATTGACTAGCACTCCAAAACATTGTACGGGATAGGCTAAGGGGCGGTACATCTCTAAGCGGTTTACCAGTCATAACAGAGCCGGACAGCTAACCAATCAGAGCAGACTGGACTCTGGTTTCAGACAGAGGGTGAAAAGTGGTGGGTCAGCACAGGCAGTATGAGAATAATAAAGAGCTTTTTGAACATTAAAGCAGGTAAACTAGTCACAGTAAAGACACAAAATACAATCATGAACCTGAAAATAAGCATAATATTGCCCCCTTTAAAGCCAGTCATAAAACCAGGCAATACACTTCTGAGCAGTAAAGCTAAAATAATATTGGTTAAAGAATGGTTACAAAAGCTGAAGAAAATCAGTTTTGTTAAGATTTGTGCTGCTTGAAAGATTGCACAGTATGTTTAGAGACTGCTTTTAATTCTAAAGAAGAATACAAAATAAAGTTACTTTTTGTGAATAAGTAGACCATATACCTCCTCTCAAGGTGTCATAGTCCCTATACCATGTGTTGAAATAATGTCTTTCTGTTTCCAAGGCAAATGACTGCCTAAGTCCTTGTGCTGTCTCAGATGTGTGCTGAAAATAATTACCTGCCAGCCTGCAAAACCCCTGATATGGTGAAGAGTCCAAAGTCGGTGATGACGACTTTCCCGTTGTCATAAAACACGTTTTTGGACTTCATGTCTTTGTGTAAGATCCCCTTTGCATGGAGGTAGCCCATCCCCTGAGGACAGAGAGAGAGAGGAATATGACTTTTCTGTAATGTGATGGGCACTGCACAAGTGTTCCGGGGAATCAGTGCAGAGTTGTTTTACCTTGACCATCTCTTGTGCGATCTGTCTGGTTTTGTTAACATCCAGGACAACCTTGGCATCCCGCACCACGGAATAAAGTGTCCTGCCTTTACACAAGCTGAGAGAGGGGGACAAGGACAAGTGTTACTGTGAAGGCTTATGTAATCATTTTATTAACTTCAAAACATTTGACATTTTAGGTCTTTAAACTTTTGCAATTCATTTTCCATTTGTCCGAATAACAATACAGAACAGTCAGGTATCTTGTTCTGCAAACCCATCAGCTCTTAAATCACTGTTTTCCACTGTACTTATATTTCATTTGACAGCGTGTGTCTTTTTCATTTGATGCTTTTCTGTAAAGCCCTCTCAATTGGTTTCTAAAAATATCTAACATAAATACACTTTCCTTGCCTATGGCTTTTTTTGCCACTGTTTTCAATTAAATGTAAATTGGGACTATTCATCTAGAACTGTGCTGTTAGTTCTTTTGTTTATACAGTTTTATTAAATGTAAGCTTGTTTGTGTATTTTATCGAATCCTTTTAAATTGTTTTTGCAAGGTACTGTTAATTATATTATTGTTACTTTTTACCTTGCCAATGCTGCATTCAAGACATGCCTGCAGAATAAGAGAAAGGAAAATGCCCTTTTGTTACAATGTTCACGCTTTATTCCAAGATAGATTCCAATTACCCATAGCTTAGATAGTGGCTTTCAGGGGGCGACTTAACGTTAGTACTATGATTTGCCAAATCTCGTGAAAATGTTTGGAATATATGTGGCTTGTGAAAAATTGATCGAAAAGGGTATACTTTGGTAACAACCAGGTTTTGCGTACAGTACGTGAGGACCACACAAGCTAATTTAGGCTTGTTATATAACTTTTGACACAAGATACACAATATCTTCTTAGTTCACTTCTCAAATAGCTGCTCTCACTTCATATAACCAGTCATCTTTGATGTCAAATGTGTTTTTGCCAACCAAATAAACTGGCTTCACCTGCAGTTTGAGATGTTGTTGGAGGATGAAATGCCATCATTTCTAACTGACACGCGGGCCCACTTGGTGTCAGGGTGAGGCTGTTACACCTCGATGTGAGAGGTAGTGTCATATTTCTGGAGGGGTGCCTCAAAGCGGCTTATTAATAGACAGCTCTACAGCCGCCCCCCCGCCTAACACCTGAAGCCCTCAACCCCAACTGTGCCATGCAGGTGACCAACAAAGGACCTGAAGCCAACAGTTCATACATATTCATTACCAACGCTGACCTGACAGCAGCTGCATTTTTAGAGGCTCTCTGTCCTCTGGCTATTTATAACACCCAAATGTGGCTTATGGCTTCAGTGTAACTTCAGTAGAAACCTTACATACACCTTATGACAACAATTACTGCTATACCTCAGAGGCAGCGCTTGATAAAAAGATAGTAAAGCCACCTCAACAAGCTGAAATTCACCTACAGTGTATGTACGTTTATCAAACAGGGGCAGTGCACATTAAGCAACATTTCTGTAAATGTGCCAGAGTTAGCCTAAGGGGCTATTTTTCATCTGCAGTCCCTGGACAGATTTCCTAAGTCACCTTAAAGACACATTTCATTTTAAACAAGTAAATACAATCAAATAAAGACATGCAACATACAGTACTAGAAATCTTCATAAAAAAACAACAAAAATAAACAAAACAAGAAAGAACAAGTTAAAACACAAGCAGTGTAGACAGACAGTGGGTTTTAAGGTGCAGAAGATTATAATCATAGATATAACCCTGTGTTCTGTACACTAGGCAGAATCGATCCCCTGCCACTTGTGACAAATTAAACGATCAATGTTTATGGTTTCACTAATGCACCCTGAAAATTCTCATCCTTAATAAACCACAATTAATATTACACATTTATCTCGATGAGTATCAGAAAGTGCATTCCAGTCCACTTTTTGAAAAGAGTGATAGGAGAAGCAGATTATTGGTGGATAACAAAGCCACCTGTTGCACTGACATTTGCTATTATTCTCAGCAATCAGGAAGGCATCTCCCCTGCACTCACGACAATTTGAGCAGGCATCAACTGCAATCACACATCTCAATCAATCAATCAGTCAAGCCGGTATTCAAAAGCTGTTTACCATCACTGTGAATGCAATGAGAAGGGAGTCATTTCTTTGACTATTGGCTTTATGAAATCACTTTTTAAACTGTGAGTCCAGCTTGGAAATCCCACTCTTTCTTCTCTGTCTTAACAGAGAATGTAGGAAGAAAAAGTTAATTTGTTCTGCTGTCAAATAAATATTAAAAGAGAAGATACAAAGAGGCTGATTCTTTTTCTTATTGAGACATTCTTCTTTGTTCACAGCCTGTGGCAAACAACTTTCTTTTTGAACATTATTAGTTAATTAATTAAACTGGAGATGTTTCCTTGTGATGGTTTTAGATAGTTTGTGATGGTAACACAGCCTCGTAGAAACATGAGAAAAATACTGAAGGTTGTTCACTATGCAGGCAGATTCACTCCAACCGCTATAGTTAAAACAACTACAGTAGGCGATGTGAGTGCTTCTAGTAGCCTGTTCTCATCATAATGTCTGTGGCACGCTTCATTGTCCCAGAGGCGGCCCGATCAGTGCCTTGTCTGAAATGAGTCCCAGGGGGACAGGGACCAGCTTAAGAAATTAAGAAGCAGAGCACAACATGATAGGTGTGATTAATTTTATGAGTCTCCCAAATAATATTGCAGAAAAATGAACATGTGGGGATTAGTGTATTCATGAAAAAGTAACACATATACTTTATTACATATTTTCTCCCCTTTCTTTCAATGTAGAATATCAAACTGTATGGACAGTTTAAACTCGTTGCCCTCCTAAAGGTTCGCAATTTTTTGACATTACAAATGCATTAAATTAACATGTTTTATGGATACATGCAGTATTTTGTTTATATATATTATATAGAAATGATATACTTGAATGAAATACACAAAGGTGAAAACACTTCTTATCTTATATGTCTTAGTGTTAGGCTTTCATCAGAAATGGTTATGTATTAAACATTTCAACATCGCATGATACAGCCGTCTTTTTCTCCTCAGTTTTACACATACATATTTATATTTTAAATGGATTGCAATATTTTGACTGTAGACATGATAACATTTATTTTAGAAATCATGTTAATAACCTTTACTATTTTTATCAAAGCAATGTTGTATCCAAGTCTATTGCCCAGAACTAAATTAATATAAATTATAAAGTTCCCTGTACTATATTCTATACTATAAACATGTATTGTTATGACTGTGCTATGCTTTATTTATATTATACTGTCTCTACATTCTAAAATGTGGCAAATTAACTTAAACTCAAAATATGCTGCTTTTCATAATTATTCTCACCTCCTTCGTGTTTTTATAGTTATATTTTTTTATGATTCTTGATCTTGTGTTTCTGCCTGCCAATTCTGTACAACATAACAAAAATAGGCTTTGAGTATGTAGTGTTTTCACACTTGAAATCTTGAAAAGTATACTTAAAAAAGTCAATATAATATATAAGCATACTAAATGACGCTATGAGTGTGTTGTGTCAATGCAATAAACAATGGAAATGGAGGTGCTTAAAACAAAATGACATATATTGCAGATTTAGTTACACACTAAACTTGTAACTAGGAGATATAACAGCAAAGCAAGTTCTTCAGCAGCCATGGGGTTTATTTCACAACACACGTCTTAAACACGTCTTTATCCTTACCTTGTGATGATTGCCAGGTGTGGTGGGCTCATGCAGGCCCCCATAAACAGCACCACGTTCTCGTGGCGAGTGTTGCGGTAACCCATCACCTCACGCTTGAAGGCCTTGAGCTGATCCTCGTTGTCCCGCTCGATGTCGATCAGGCGGATAGCCACCTCACCGTGCCAGCGTCCGTGGAAAACTTTGCCAAAACGCCCCCTGCCAATCATCTCCCCGATCTCAAGCTGCTCAAACGGGATGTCCCACTCCTGCAGGAAGATGCTGGTCTGGCTGGCCTTGCGCGGGAAGTTGCGTGCCGACAGGAGCGACAGGTTCATCTCCTCGAACTCGTCACCGGAATCCTCGTCATTGCCGTCCTCGTTCTGTGATCAAGCGAAATTGAAATGTTCTTTGGTAGCTGTAGGCCTGCTTTTCACAGATGTACAGGTATGGTGAATAAAATATTTGACCAAGATGTCAATTGCTTTTATTCTGACAAATGCCACTGAGTCTGTAGACACAAACTGAAACATTGACAATAAAGTTGACTTTGACTTTTGAGAGCTGGAGGATTCAAATCTGCTGAAACCTCTTCTAAAGGAAGTTTCACAAATAAACATGGTTGTTCATTCGCTGAATGTAAAATCGAGTTCTGTCATATTATAGTACATTGAATCATTGACTTCATCAATGCATATGTACTAGCATATACACATATACAGTATATATATATATATACATATATGTTTTCTTTATATAAAACAGCATATCATTTTTGTCAAGTTGTGTTCGTTCTAAGTACTCACTGCTGTTTAGGCCATTGCCAATAAACTTCAAAAAGATTTATGAAAAGGGAAAACAGCCAGAGGGAAATTATTTTTGATTTATTCTGATTTGATTTCAAATATAATATACTGCAGAATTGAAAATTACCTAATCAAAGATGCCTGCTGGAATACTATTCAAGGCAATCTTCATCATATTGTCTCAAGATATTTAATTTTTACAGAACGGAGGTGACGTCGAGTTGCATCTTTTCCTTCCTGCTGCTTTTCACTCAAACGTACCTGGAGGGGAGCCGAGTCAAATTATGCTAAATGAGAGAACGGTGCAAATGACTACGACAAGTGACGGTGAGAGCTATACGCGGTCTTCATTTGGATTCACAAATAATTTTACACTGATATTACTAACAGAAATGTTGCACAGTATGATGTATGAAAAACATTCACATATATTTAAAAGCATCACAAAACAAGGACTTACGTCTGATGTAGGCTCAACTTCAATTTGAAGTAAAGGGTTGCCCTCATTCCTAAAAGAAAGAAGAATACAATTTAAAATAAAACTATGACAAAAAACTCTTTCACTCATAACTGATGAGCCTATGTGTTGTTTTTATTTATGTAGTGTTTTGCACCATTAATCAGGTCTTTAAATGGATTTTTGTTTTGTTATATTGTATAAATTATTCATTCTTGATATCTTGTCTCCTGGAATGTTGCAGACTTGATCGATGCCCTGATAAATATGTATGAGTCACATCTATGATGTTAGATATTTAGACAATTGCTTCTCCCAATATGAGAGGAGGTTGTGAAACGAAAGTCATTCAGAGGGAGAACAACTGGATATAAATCATGGAAATAACAGTTTTCCCCTGCTTGGGCTAACCAAGGTTTAACACTAGAACTTCTGTGTAATGTGTAAATCTTTGTTTGGTGTAATTATTTCCTATTATGTGCAATACCTGTTTTCATGCTGCTGCAACGAAAACATTTCCAAATTTGGGATGAATAAAGTATATCTTATCTTATTTAACTGTCTTTGTTAATGCCATTTTCTTCAAGTACAATGGTGATTGGTGGATTTAGTATTGTTCAATTCCATGTTCGAATAATGATGCTGCTGATGTGTAGGCTTGTTTACCAAACTTAAAGAATAATTTAAAGTACTCCATGGATTTAAACTCCATTCACCTGATACGCGGTAAAGGGATCATGCTGGAGTTGACGCAGCGTTTTTATGGAGAGAGTTTTGCTGGCGGATAGGGGGAAGCACAACCCACGTGGTCGCGCAGCGTTCACAATTGTGGCCAAGCAATGTGCTAAAATGTCGCATTTTTTAACTTTGACCTTTAGACACACACAATCAGAGGACAGCTGTATGTAGCAGCTTAAGCTAGCAAGCAAGGTAACCATAGCAACTAAACTTCACTAGCTACTGCAGAGCCACTATTTCAAGTATACTACGTCTCCGAGTGGCGCCGAATGCTGGGCATTTAAACAGTCCTTCGGCGCCACTCGATGACGTAGTATACTTGAAATAATGGCCGTTTCTCAATCTCGAGGATACTGGCTTCCAAGCCAATATTTCAAGGATGCTACGTCATCGAGTGCCGCCGAAGGACTGTTCCAATATCCAGCATACTTGGAATTCCACCGAAGCCGCGTCCTTGGTTTGGGGGAAATTTCGAGGCCGCACATCATGGATGTATAGCTGCACATGGGTAGACTTTGGCCGCTTCTCAATCGCGAGGATACTGGCTTGGTAGTCGCATACTTCCAAGTCACTTCCTTCAGAAACGAAGCAAGTATACTTCCAAGCCACGGCTTCGGAAAACAAAGAAGAATGGAACAGGCTAACAAGTGTGCCACTCATCTAATTATGAACTTGCTTTACTTTCACGGAACACATTTTTGGTGATAACAAATGCAACAAAGTAACATATTTACCAACACATGTTCTACGCCACAACATACTTACATTTAAATGTGTGCTGCACTGCGTCGGTTCAGCCATTCTCCGCAAGGGTTTTTGAAAATGGTCCGTGCGCAAAGCATTGTGGGGATTTGAAGGACGTGAAGTCTAGCCATGTGCAGCCTCGAAATTACCCCCAAACCAAGGACGTGGCCTCGGTGGAATTCCAAGTATGCTGGAGATTGGAACAGTCCTTCGGCGGCACTCGATGACGTAGTATCCTTGAATATTGGCTTGGAAGCCAGTTTCCTCGCGATTGAGAAACGGCCAGAAACGTGACTCTACGGCCCGTCCATACAGCGGCTTTGGAAAAAGCTTGCCGGCGGGCGTGTCTGAAGCGCAACCAACAACCAATCACATGAATCTCCCGCCCCTGACACACAAGCAGCGGTTTGATTGGCTAGAGCTTGTACTGGCATATGATTTGATTGGCTGATGCTTCCACCGAAAACTTCAGAATCTTCAAAAGTTGAACATTGCTCAACTTTTGCAGCCTGAAACGCCAGGAAAGCTCCGCTCTGCTTCCCACAATGCAGTTCGGCGAAAAGTGACGTCACCCGATTCAAAGTGAATGGGAA